ACTAAATCAGGGAAGAGGAGCAAAAACAAGATAAATATAAGGAAAATGTCAGATGGTATTGGTACATACTTCTAGTATACCCAAAACATGTCTAGTAAACAAATAGGTATACCTAGATCTCAGGAGAAATCCAAGGTAAAAATACAAAACGAAGATAATGGCCAGGAGAGTGAATGAAACTTCCTAGAGAAATGTGTACAATAGGAGACAGCCAAAGATCAAGCTGTGGAGACCACCAATATTTAAAACAGGCAGACAGGAGTATGAAAACTAAGAGAGAGTAGTGATACAGAAGCTTAGAAAGGAGAAAGTTTCATGAAGAAGGGAGCTGTCAACGCACTAAACATACCAAAGAAATGAGGATTTGAAAATTGAGTAACTGGTGACTTGAAGAAGAGAGGTAGCAGAGGAATGGCTGGTGAAGAAAGCTAAACTAGACAGGGTTGAGTGAATGGCAGGGAAGAAAATAGAGGTAGAAAGTTTGAGAAGAGAGTAACAACTAGAGAAGAAAAGAGCATTGAAGAGCAACATTTTTAGAATGATAGAGATTTTAGCATTTTTATACAATGAGAAAGGGACTAGTGGAAAACGAGATTTTAAAGTTATACCTCTGTACTTAAAATTAGTATATGGAAAAGTTACCCATAATACAATGTTAAGTGAAAAAACAAGTTGCAGAACATGTATGCTATAATGTCACTTAAAATTCTGACTCCTTTCAACGCCCCTCAAGGTGTTTAGGTCTTTACGATCTGGCCCATACCTACCTCTAACTTCACAGCATGCCATTTTCCACTTCATTCATTATGTCCCAGCAACACTGGCCATTCTTTTTGGTCCTTCAACACACAAGGCTGTTCTCGCCTCAGGAATTCTGCACTTGCTGTTACTTCTGCCAGAATGCTCTTCTCCTGATCAAAGGCTAGTTCCTTCAAGTCATTCATATCTCAGTTCAAACATCCCTCCTCAGAGAGGTCTGCCTACCTTTATGTAATATTGCATATCTCTTCATCTCAGCCCCAAAAAGTTACCAGCAATACCTTGTGTTAGCAACTACCATTATCTGAAATTCTTATTTACTTGTCCATTCCCCTCCTAGAAGTGTAAGCTCTGTAACAGAGATTTCATCTTCCACACATGCAACATATTGTTCGCCACATATCTCTGCTGCTTAAAATAGTACCGGGCACATAGTAGACACTCTGTTTTTGAATGAAAATCTGTACGCACACACATATACACACACACACACAGATGTGTTTACATGAAAAATATTAAGGAAGGTCAGAAAGGATCTTAATACTTGAATTTATTTATATGGGGGCAGCATGAGGCTAGGAAGAGAGGCATACAATAACCATTCACTGTTTCCTTCATCTCTATTCAAACTTTTTCTGTAGAAGTCATGTCTTTTGTAACTGAAAAAAAAAAAAAATTAATAATGATCATATGAGCCTAGGACAGTTGATCTACTCTGCTTCTCTATTTTCGTTTGGTGGGCTATAATGATCTAATCGCCTGTGGAACAAGTGACTACTCTAACTGCAGGTTGATCCTTGAGTTGTTTTGGTATGGCAGTTCAAAGTTAGAATCTTAAACCTTGGAGCTGGAAAGAGCTTAGGAATCATCTAATCCAACCCCCTAGTTTTATAGATGAGGAAGAAGAGACTTAGAGCAATTCAATTAATAAAAAATAGGGTATTGATGAAAAAGTTTCAAAGACTATATGATTAAGAACAATTTAAAAGACTAATCTATTATATGTTATATGTAATTTAAAGAACTAATAAAAGCCTCCTAAAAGTTACTCTCACATATAACCTACAATCTTCTGGTGAAAACTATTGCTCAAAGTACAAGGATTTCCCTAAGCATAGTATTTGACCAACGAACTCCATGGTTAAAGCATCATAATATAACAAAGGATATCGAATACGTGTGTGTGTGTGTGTGTGTGTGTGTATACATATATATATGGAGTGAAAATATTATTCACTCTTGATACCCTGTTAGGTGTGCAGACTAACTGAAGTTAGGCACTTCTTTCCACAGGGTAGACATACAATATGTCAAGTATATCATACATTAAGGATTCATCATACTTTGATTCAAATTTCTGTATTAATTTCTATAATGTGTATTTAATGGGATAAAAACCAAATGTTAAACAGGTAAGAAATGCACTACTATATCATTTACAGAAATGTCTTAACTATTTCTCTCTCTAGTTTACCAGGAATACAACAAATTTTGTCTAAACTTCTGAATAATACCACCTTATGCTTAACACACTGTCTCACTTGACCCTCACAACCCCAGAGACAGCAGATATTGTTATTTCCATTTAGTATATAAAATGAGGCTCAGAGATTAAGGAGCTTGACCACAGTCATTCAGACAAGTCCTAGAACCTAGATCCTCTACTTCTTAGCCATTGTTCTTTCCAACACCCAGATTACTTCACATTTACCATTTACTAAAATGTAAATATAATTTCCCTCCTTCCTTATCCGTGAAGGTGAAGAGTACCAAAATCCTAGCATTCCTATCCTATTCTACCTGAGCTTTTAGTACATCACATTAGTCATTCATCTTAATACTGATGAGAAAGATGTGAAAGTCACCTTAACTGAGAATTGTGCTTATCAATAATTCTGTATGAAATCCTACCAAACAGTCAATTACTTTTTTTTTTTTTTTTTGAGATGGAGTCTTGCTCAGTAGCCCAGGCTGGAGTGCAGTGGCGCGATCGCCCACCACCACACCCGACTAATTTTTTTTTGTATTTTTAGTAGAGACGGGGTTTCACCATGTTAGCCAGGATGGTCTCGATCTCCTGACCTCGTGATCCACCCGCCTCGGCCTCCCAAAGTGCTGGGATTACAAGCGTTAGCCACCGTGCACAGCCGTCAATTACTTTCTTAATCATAATAAAGGTACCCACTTATTTAGAAAGTTCTCTACAAACAATACCCAAAATTGTTAAAATGATCTTTATAGTTGGAAATAAAATCTGAAACCAAATCTTAGCCTTACTACTAACTGTTCAACACTCAGTGCATTTCTTAACTTAGTATCACCCTCATCCAAAAAATGAGGATAATACCACCTGCTTCTGTGAGTTGCTGGGAAGATGAAATGGTACAATAGATGTAAAACAATTAGCTCTTAGAAAATGGCCAGATCTGCTAACATGGTGAAACTCCGTCTCTAAAAAATACAAAAAAGAAATTAGCCCGGCCTGGTGGCACGTGCATATAGTCCCAGCTACTAGGGAGGCCGAGGCAGGAGAATCGTTTGAACCCGGGAGGCGGAGGTTGCAGTGACCAGAGATCGTGCCACTGCACTCCAGCCTGGCGACAGAGCGAGACTGTCTCAAAAAAAAAAAGAAAAAGGCCAGATCTTATAGCTGTTAGAGACACAGATGCAGATAGCTACTGCTGATAGGTAATGTCATTTAATTTATGTGAACTTTTACTAGTTGAACTTCTAGTGTGCCCTTATTTTTTTTCTCCCCAATATTTGGGGCAGGACACAATACACTCATGCTCCCAGGGAACAAATTAAAGTGAGAGCTGAATTTCATTGTTGTTCTAACCCCTGTAATTAAGCAATAGAGTAATAATCTATTATTTGACTGTCTTGGAATTGGCTATATCAAAGCTTACACTATTTTGACTCCTATTCTTTATCTGAGTTGGCTAAAAGCATCTTTCACTCTATTTTCAAATAAAACTAATAAGCCAACTTTATGAATACAAATAAAAATACGGTGAATTCATCTTGGGTGAAAAGAGTAGGAAGGCTTCAGGGGGAATGCAGAGAGAGACCTAACACTGAGAAATTATGTATTCAGAAGTCCATTTTGTACTAATTTACTTTCTCTTTTAATCTTCACAAACATCATTCTAGTCAATAAAGGCCTCATTTTATAGATTAGGAAAGTTCAGAAGCTTTAACTCTTACTCTCTCCCTTTTGATCAAGGTGCTTAACCACTTTAACCTACAAGAAGGCTCTCTTGCTCAACTCAAGGTCTTTCCTCTTACAATCTCTGCTCAGAATGGTCTCCTGTTTCTCAACAAGGCTGTCTCCTGCTTCAGGTCTCACCTCAAACAGTACCTCCTCCGTTCAATCTAAAGCAGTGTACACCTACGTCAGTGTAGTGTGGTAAGTTTTTTTAAAAAAAGGAAAAAAAATAAAGTTGTGTACTTCAATTACTCATCTTTATTTCCTTCGCAGAACACAAAATGGTCTGTATTCATCTTCTTTTTGTGTTTAAGGGCAGAAATACTTTGATAATGACAATGAACACACCTACCTACAGTCATTTAGCAAGTAAATAACAGGACCTGGAAACCAATCCAAGGAAATCTGACTGCAAGCTCCTGCACTGCCCTACCACTACTTTTTGTATAGATGACAGGGAAGGTGCTTTGGGCTGGGAAATAAATTAAGAGGTGTGCCTTGCTGCTTTTTTATATTCATTCACTATTAAGAAATTATACATATAGTTAATACGACAAAATATTTAACCCGAATTTATGCATACAGTTAATACTACAAATAATTCGAATTTCAAGAGCCACTACATTGCCTACTAGAATCACAACTCAATTTGAAAAAACACTACATTTATAATGTGTCTTATCCTAATACTTCAAATTTGTTGAGTGATTGGCATCTGCGCAAATAGTTATTTAGGGCTAAAAGAAAACTGTCACATATACAAATGAGTTTTACTAACAAGCTTATAATATTCTTTTAAAAATTGTTTTGAATTTCACAATACATCATGCAGAAAACTTAACACCAGTCATATGATATCATTTCGATAATGGTGTTCTTTCTTAAAGAAAGATGACATGCACTGACTGTTGCGTTTTTGCTGTCAAACCATGTTCTTGCAGGTAAGTCAGTTCATGTAAAACGCTAAGCGCGGCTAAAGCGGACCACTAACAACATTCCCTTTGTTACCTTACCCACAGGATTTAATACTTACTGCTGAGTTCTCCATCCTCAGATACTCCTGTCCCTCTCATTCCTAGGTAAGTCAGTCCCAGTATTAGAAAAAATAAGCAGGCAGCAGTTAAGAGAAACATCGACAAGTAGTGGGCACTGAAACTCCCTGTTGGGGACACCTCCTCCCGTTTAAATTGCTGGAGAAGTTCCTCTTCGGGTTCGGAAAGCTTCGGTTTGTTGTATGTGTTTTTCAGGTAGGTATGATTGGAGCCCGTATGATTGGCGTGGTTGATCCTGAGTGAACTAGCGGCGGCCACCGCCGCACTGGGAGGGAGGCTGTTAGAATAAATCCTGGGAGAGTCCACATTGAAGGCCCCACTGCCAATATGATTATTGGTTTTCAGAAGGGAGCCTGTTGACGAATCCAAGGTTGAGTCCATGTCAGTAAGTGGCGGGGGCAGGAGTGGGGTCAGTTTCTTAGCGTTAACACGGTATCTAGGAACCGGGCTGGAGTCCACTTGATCACACCCTCCTCCCTGCTCCGCCGCCGCCGCCTCTTCGAGGTTTCGGCTCCTGTCTAGACTCCCGGCAGCCGCCGCCCTGTCATTCATCGCGTGTCCTCCCCCTCCCTGAACTGAAGTCTCCAGCCTGCCGCCGGCCGATTTAGCAGTCAGCGGGGAGAGAGGCTTACTATGGGTTCGTCTGGGCCGATGCCGGGAAAGGGAGTCGTCCTTTAATACCTGTCTGCTGGAGGCCACGTCGTCGTCGTCCTCTTCCTCTGAGTCTGAATAGTTTTCCCGGCAGCTGTAGGGGACAAGCCGGCTGCCATTCACGGTCCGGCTCGCCCAGAGCGGCTCCTCGGCCTCCGGATCCCTCTCCTCACCGTCCTCTCCCTCCCCTTCCTCGTCCTCCACTGCTCCATCTTTCCCCGGCGGGGTCTGCAGGTCGGGGCCCGCCGGCCTCCTGGCCCCCCACCACGAGTGGGGCTTCCTTCGCTCGGCAGAGTTGCTGTTAGTCACCTCGCTGGCGGCCAGGGGCGCCGGCGGCGCTTTGAGCCCGCGGTACTGGAGCGAAGCCCGGTCTTTCCTCCCGCCGCCGCCGGCCTGGTCCCGGGGACTGGCCTCCACGTCCGACTCGTCCGAGCTGAAGCCCAGCAGCACTTTGCTGCCAGCCGTGGGGGCGGCGGAGGCGCCCCCGGGCCCTCCCAGGAGGTTCTCCGAGCCTGAGGCCGAGATTCGGCACAGGCCCCCAGGAGTCCGTAAGTAGGAGAGGTCGCCCGCGACTGGCCGGACCCCCATCCCCGCGGCTGCTGCCGCCGCTGGTCCCGCGGCTACGACCGTGGCGGCTGCCGTGTTATTGTTATTACTGTTCCGCGTCTTGTTGCCGCGGCCCCCCGACCGGTGCTGTTGCTGCTCTTCCTCTCGAAGCTTCTTCAGCTTCTTGAGGTAGACCGGGCGGGTGCTCTCCGTCACTGGTCCGGGAGACAGGCCGTAACGGCGGAGCTGAGAGAAAAGCTCCTCATCCGAGAGCTGCTGAGGTGCCGAAGCCGCTGCCGCCGCCATTTTCTCTCCAGGGTGTTTTACAAGCTCCGCGCTACCGGAAGTGACGCGCCGCCCTAGACCCTGAACTAGACCGCGCGGCGTCGCCCTCCCAGCGCCGCGGGCGTCTCGGCCAATGGGAGGCGCGGGAGGAGCTCACCTGAGCGGGAAACAGCCACCTGAGCAGCGCGCGGCTCCCACGGCGGAGACTGTTTCTACTCTCTCACCTTGAGGTGTTGGCGCATTCTCCCCGCTCTTCTCTGTCTCATCTCCAGCTGTTCTCCGCCCTGCCCTTCCAAGCGCCGTTCCCAGGAGCTGCCTCTTACTAAACCACACCTTGACCTCTCCTTCCTAGGTTCCTGCCACCGGGCAGTAATAATTGAAATTACCTTGAAGTTCATGGCATAAGTTTTCTTTACATCTGGATTCCCACTGCCAAGGAAGCCTAGACCTACTGAAAGAAATTCTGCTGGCCAGACTAGATTGGCAGCTTTCCCGTCTGACTTCAGGTTGTCTATTTTTCAGTTCGTCTTTCGCTTGACTTACCAAAAAAAAAAAAAAAAATTTACTTTCTCTCACTGCTCTTGAGAAGCCTCACCTCTCCCATTCTGAGAAGATACAGAGTACACCAATCACAATACAATTTTCTTCTAGCGTAATGTCTGTTCATATTCATTAGTTAATTGTAAGATATTATCTTATTTTTTCCTTTTTTGAAACCTACGTGAGCACTTTTGAAAGTGAAAGCTTATCTGCTTCATTTTAAGACTCTCAAAGACATAACACATGATCCTATTTATTTCCTTCTTAGCACCTTTCCAACCAATAGTTATTTATTAGTTATTAATAAATATTCGTATTTATTTTCAAAATTATTTATTGTCCTATCCTTTTGGACTGTAATAAGCTCCATGTGTGGAGGAACCTTGCTTCTGTTACGATACTAGTAGAAGCTCAATAAATATTTGTTGAATTAATTAAAGAATTGCAAACAAAGGATAGTATGAGATGAATATTTTGAAATAAGACTAGTGCCAGGTGAGGTGGAGAAACCTTCACACAAAGTCAAAAAAACAAGGACGAGACCTGGAAACCCAACTCTCCCATTTATAGAATAGGAAATGAATCCCAGAGAGGTGAAATATGCCCAGTGTGGTGAAGATCTTTTCCCATTTTCCCATTTTCCCATTTCCCCAAACCTTGGCAGACAGACAATTCTTTAGTACTTCAATCCTAGTAGCTACAAAATACTACAATAATTTTTTGTTGTTGAATGAGCTATTTTACCTATTACATTACATTATACACCTGTACAGAAAAATGTTAGTCAAAAGCATAGATACCGCCGGACGCGGTGGCTCACCCCTGTAATCCCAGCACTTTGGGAGGCCGACGGGGGCGGTGCGGATCACGAGGTCAGGAGTTTGAGACCAGCCTGGCTAACATGGTGAAACCCCGTCTCTACTAAAAATACAAAAAAGAAAAGAAAAGAAAAGCCGGGCGTGGTGACAGGCGCCTGTAATCTCAGCTACTCTGGAGGCTGAGGCAGGAGAATTGCTTGAACCCGGGAAGGTGGAGGTTGCAATGAGCCGAGATCGCGCCACTGCACTCCAGCCTGGGCAACAAGAACGAGACTCCGTCTCAAAAAAAAAAAAAAAAAGCGTAGATACTAGCTTTTCAATAACCAGAATCAAACAGCAGAATAATACCTCAATTTTTCACTTTTCCTAGCAAAAGGTTGCCATCTTCTCAAAAAAAACTTTTCTGTGGAGGACACTTCCTCACTTCCTTGTCCTTTATCATTGAGACTTTAAGATTTACAAATGTTCCTGAATCTATGACCGTTACACACTTATAAGAGAGTTTTGAACGGTAAATTATAGTGGCTATGATGATGATGACCTGGACTTTATTGCCATAATTATCTGGGTGGGAACTAAAATTATTATAAACTTAGCGGACTTGTGTCTCCATGTAGCAGAGTGCTTAAGCTGTGAACTTTGGAGTTAGACAAAACTATATATGGACCCAGCCCTTTCTTACTTTCATTCTTGGTTCAACATTTGCTTTATGCCATACTGGCTCCTCTGATAGGAATCATAGAGCTCTGTTGGTTCAGCCTCTGATTTTCATGAACGTTTAAATGACCTCCTATAAGGACTGTTGAACCATTTATGTTTCTGCCTGTGACTTTGGACAAGTTAATTCATCTTTCCGAGCTTTAGCTTCTGTACAAACAGAAGAGGGATGATAAAAATTTCTCAGAAGGCTGTTTTAAAGAGTAAATAAAACTATATATCTGCATAATGCCTAGCACCATACGTAACACACAGTGTGCACTCAACAAATGTTAGTCAATATATAAAGCTAAGTATTGTGTGCAGCCATTTCGGTAGCATGGCCCCTAAGAACGCTATATAATAGCAATTAAAGAAAATGCTACTCCATAGACAAAAATGGAAATGGTCAAACTTCCCTCAAGGCATTAAGTAATTCCAATGAAGAGTTAATGAAGATGGGCCGGGTGCGGTGGCCCATGCCTGTAATCCCAGCACTTTGGGACGCCAAGGCGGGCGGATCACCTGAGGTCAGGAGTTTGAGACCAACCTGGGCAACATGGTGAAATCCCATCTCTACCAAAAAGTTACAAAAATGGCATGATGGCGGTCGCCTGTAATCCCAGCTACTCCGGAGGCTGAGGCAGAAGAATGTCTTGAACCCGAGAGGCAGAGTTTGCAGTGAGCCGAGATAGCACCACCGCACTCCAGCCTGGACGCCAGAGGGAGACTCCGCCCCCCTCAAAAAAAAGAAATACCAAAAAAAAAAAAAAAGCCAGGTGTGGTGTCGCATGCCTGTAATTCCAGCTACTCAGGAGGCTGAGGCAGGAGAATCGCTTGAACCCAGGAGGCAGAGGTTGCAGTGAGCCGAGATCGTGCCACTGCACTCCAGCCTGCATGATGGAGCAAGACTCAGTCTAAAAAAAAAAAAAACAAAAAAAAACAAAAAAAAACAAAACAAAAAAAAACTTTTAAATGTGGAGGATATTGCCTGCCCTACCTGGCAGACAATTCAATCAATATTTGTTGAGAATGATGAATGAACACTGTATGTGAAAATGTTGTTCAAATATGTTGTTTACAGGTTATTATTATCAGATATTAATAATAATGACAACTATGATTGATATGCTACTTTATACTTTTCAAAGAATTTTCCTATACATGACTTTGTTTGATCTACAAGAAACCTTTCCACTCTGAAGATACTGAGAGCATGATTTATTTCATGGAACTATATGGGTTTATAATTACCCTTTGTTTGGTGTTTGAGAAGACCCAACACTTTTTCAGGAGAACCTTCACTACCTCAACACTGTCACTGCTCACTTCCAACATTCTCCTCATTTGCCAGTGGATCTTGCTCCTGCTTCCAGACTGGCTAACACTTAAAGTATGAGGCCCTATTCTTGACTACACCCGAATACTTGACAGGCAGTGCAATGTCAAACTCAGTCCCGCTCCATAAGTTCCAAAAATCTGAGGAAAACATTTATGATGGATTCTGGTCCAACTCTTCTTTGAGGTGTTTTTATTTCTGCATTAAGCCTCCTTATGAAAGACCAATGTAGCTTGGGCCACATTACTAACACGCTATTCCTCCTACTCTCTTTCCCTACCCACCCTGTTCCCAATAGAATACCTTTCACCATGTCACCCATTTAACCTTGACATCAGTTTATATTGAAGAATGATATGAACGCAACATTTCGTTCAAATAAAGATATTGCTGAGAGTTCATTTCCTTAAAGAATGTCCTGTCTGGTCTCATTATTAGAAATGGTTGTATATTTCCAGAGCAATTCACTTGTTTTAATTTTTACTGAAATGACATTCATAAAATATAACATTAATTGTTTTATTTTATTTTATTTTTGAGACAAAGTCTTGCTGTGTCTCCCAAGCTGGAGTGCAGTGGTGCTATCTCAGCTCACTGCAACCTCTGCTTCCCGGGTTCAAGCAATTTTCCTGCCTCAGCCTCCCAAGTGGCTGAGACTGCAGGTACACACCACCATGCCTGGCTAATTTTTGTATTTTTAGTAGATGCAGGGTTTTGCTATGTTGGCCAGGCTGGTCTCAAACTCCTGACCTCAGGTGATCCACCTGCCTCAGCCTTCCAAAGTGCTGGGATTACAGGCGTGAGCCACTGCACCCGGCAACATTAATCATTTTAAAGTATACAATTAATGGCATTTAGTACATTCATAATGTTGCACAACCATCAACCCTATCTAGTCCCAAAACATTTTCATCACCCACAAAGTAAACCCGGAACTCATTAAGCAGCCACTTCCTATTTTCCTCTCTCCCCAGCCCCTGACAAATACTAATATACTTCTTGTCTTTAGGGACTTAACTAGTCTGGCTATTTCATGTAAATGGGATCATACATTACATGACCTCTTGTTTCTAGCTCCTTTCACTTGTTTTTGAGGATCATATGTGTTGCAGCATGTATCAGTACTTCATTTCTTTTTATGCCTGAATAATATATTTCATTGCATGAATATGCCATATTTTATTTATCCATTCATCCATTGATGAACATTTTGGTTGTTTCCACCTTTGGTTATTGTGAATAATGCTACTATGAACATTGGTGTATAAGTATCTGTTTGAATAGCTGTTTTCATTTTTTTTTAGGTATGTACTTCAAAGTGGAATTGCAGATTATATGGTAATTCTATGTTGAACTTTTTGAGGAATCACAAGACTACTAATTTGTTTTTAACTTTATGAATGTGTTCAAGCAAATAAGGAAGCCATTAGGCCTGTGCGGTGCCTCACACCTGTAATCCAGCACTTTGGGAGGCCGAGGAGGGATCACTTGGGGTTAGGAGTTTGAGACCAGCCTGGCCAACATGGTAAAACCCATCTCTACTAAAAATTCAAAAATTAGCCGGGTGTGGTGGCTCGTGCCTGTAATCCCAGCTACTCGGAGGGCTGAGGCAGGAGAATCACTTGAACTCAGAAGGCGGAGGGTGCATGAGCTGA